TTCTTTCTTTCTTTTTTTTTTTTTTTAAGATTTTATTTACTTATTTGACAGAGATCACAAGTAGGCAGAGAGGCAGGCGGCAGGTTGGGGGGAGGCAGGAAACAGGCTCACCGATGATCAGAGAGCCCGATGTGGGGTCGATCCCAGGACCCTGGGATCATGACCGGAGCCGAAGGCAGAGGCTTTAACCCACTGAGCCACCCAGGCGCCCCTCCCTCTCCCTCTTTCATTCCCCCTGCTTGTACTCTCTCTCTCTCTTCTAAATAAATAAAATCTTTTAAAAAAATTAAAGAGTCCTTATGTTGTAGAAATATGTATTGAAATACTTAGGAAAGAAACTGTATGATGTCCGGGATTCGCTTCAGGATAATACAGAGTATGTTCTATACCTTAATTGTGGTGGTTACATTCATTCATGAAAACTCTTTGAAGTATGTACTTAAAATGTGCATTAATTTATATAAATCATACCGCAGTAAAGTTGATTTTTTTAAAATGGGAGTAGGGGAGGAAGCGGGTAGGGGTAAGGATGAAACAAGATGGGCTATGGATTGATGTGTTGAAGCTGGATGCTGGGTACATGGAGGTTTATTGTACCCCTCTGTTTATTTGGTAGGGGTTTGAAAATGTCCATAATAAAAGCATTTTTAAAGAATTGCACGAAGGAAGATGCTATTTCTATGTTACAGATGAAGAAACGAAAGCAGAGGTTAAGTAACTTGCCCCCCAAACTACACAGCTGGTAAGATGATGAGTCAGGAATATGAACAGACCGTCTGAGTCCAGAATTTCAGCTATTAATCATGGGTACACATTTCCAGAGGGGGTAGAGTAAAGTGTGCTTGTGCTATGGGGGGGATGCGGCACCGCTGGGTGGGAACAGAGACTGACTTGGGGAATTCTGGAAGTAAGATGGGCATAAATGGTGGTGGCCACATTGCAGTGGGCCAAGAAATGGGTCCCCTTTTAGGTTCGTTGTCCTGGGAGTAGACTTGTGGTTAAGAGTGTGGTCTTGGGACCTCTCTGCCTGGCTTTGAGTCATGGCTCTGACACCTGCTAGCAGTGTGATCTTGGGAAAGTCACTTAAAGTCTCTGTCCCTTACTTTCCTTACTTATAACATGGATATTAACAGCAGTGTAAAGTGGTGTGGCCAGTGGGGAAAACAGTTTGGCAGTTTCTTAAAAAGTTAGTATAGGGGTGCCTGGGTGGCTCAGTGGGTTAAGCCTCTGCCTTGGGCTCAGGTCATGGTCTTAGGGTCCTAGGATTGAGCCCCGCATCTGGGTCTCTGCTCAGCAGGGAGTCTGCTCCCCCGCCCCCGCGCCTGCCTCTTTGCTTAATTGTGATCTCTCTCTCTGTGAAATAAATAAATAAAAATCTTTTTTTTTTTTTAAGTATAAGTTTACCACATGACCTGGCAATTACACTCTGAACATGAAAACCTATGTCCACACAAAGACTTGTGTGCCGGGGTCTGTAACAGTACTATTCATGAAAACGGAAAGGTGGAAACCCAAATGTGATTGGCTACACAAAATACGTTTTGTCCATACCGGGATACTACTCAGTGAGAAGAAGGAAACAGACTCACTACTAGTACAAGGGACAGCATGGACGAATCTCCAAAACATTATGCTTTTGTGAAGCAGTCATATGTAAAGACCACATATGCTATGATTCTGTTTCTATGAAATGTCCAGGAAAGGCAGATCTATACGGACAGAAAGCAGATTAGTCACCCAGGGCCGGGGGTGGGAATGGGGAGTTACTAGCAATTGGAGATGAGGGATTTCTTAGGAAATGTTCTAAAATTGGCTTCTGGTGATGGTTGTGTAACCCTGTAAATTTAATAACAATCATTGACTTGGATACTTAAAATGGGTTATGTATTGTATGTAAAATTAAAAAAAAATAGTGCCTATCTCCTAGAATTGTTATGGGGATTACGTAACATAAAGTTCCTAGACAGAGACTGGAATGCAGTCAGTGCCCTAGAAGTTACGGTACTGGGCTGGAACTCTGGGGCCACTTCCCGGCAGTGCCTCTTTCCAGGGAAAAGGACAACTGAGCAGGAGCTGCTCCCAAATCCTTGAACAGGGGCCTTTGGGTGAGACCCAGATGGACCACAGAGCAGGGAGGGCTGGCTTCCAGGTCTCTCTAGGCCCTTCCTATCCCTTATTGCGGAGGTATCAGATGGGAGCCGGCATCCAGCCTGGTCCCTCCTTTTCTCCTTATGGAGAAGAGGGGTTCCAGAGAACGGTGTCGCCTCCTCATCTCGCCAGCTGAGGACGGGGTCGAGTGTCCTATACCGTAGGCAGTGGGAATTGCAACAGCTGGGCAAGCCGCTCACATCGTGTTTCCACCCTCCTGTTGTGAGGAAGCAACTGTTGTCCCCTTTTCACTGGGAAGGACACTGAGATTCAGAGTACCTCGGAGACCTGCCCTGGGATGTACAGCAGGAACCCCCAGTCCCAGCCCTCTGAAAATGGAGGCTTGATGACTACAGGTCCTTTCAGCTGGAGATAGTCACACTAACCCCTACTGTTGGTAAAGTATTCCCATGCCCACAACGGAGGCGTTCCCATCTGGGCTGTATTCTGGGATGCCTGATTCAAGGAATGGGGAGAAGGGAAAGTGGAGGTGGAGGGAATTCCTTCTCCAGGGAAGGACTCCCAACGGTAATGATCCCCAATAAAGCCCCTAAACTCAGATCTGAAGGACTGAAGGCTTTTGGAGTTGGAGAATGAGGAGGCCATTGATCTGCCCAGCTGGGTAAGATTCGGTCATGCAGTCATACTGAAGAGGATCTCGAGTGTTCTCTCCTTATGTCAACACTGTGCTAGGCACAGGAATGCAAATATGAATGAGACCATGGGAGATAAAGAGGAGTTTCCCATTTCAGGTTCCCATAGGTGGGGCCCAAGCTCCCTCCCCAGGCATCTAAGTGGCAAAGAGGCTGGAGTACAATGGGGTTGAAGCAAAAGCCCTCTGCCCCTCAAGCCAAAGAAATCTGTCACTGCTATCTCAGTCTGAGAGTTCTCAGCATTGACTCCCAGAAGAGACAGCTGTGCAGATCATCATCCTTCCAGAACTTTCCTCATGTAGGTGTTTTGTGGCGTTGTGGGGGGAGGTGGTTGCAGAAGGTGGGCTATCATCCTTCCAGAACTTTCCTCCTGTGTGTGGCAGGGGAAGGAGGTTGCAGAAGGTGGGGAGGGGAGCTGAGGCTTTTGGAGCACTCAGGAACCCTGGGGTGTAGACCTGGCAGGACCCCAGGATCTCCCCTCATGACAACTGCCCTGAAGACTTCTACAGAAGATGCTAAGGCGTGAGTATTTGGAGCACTAGAACACCATGCCCTCTAGTTCCTCAAATCCTGGCTCCACCCCAGGGCCTTTGTCTGGGGCCTCTGCAGGAGGGAGATGGGGAGGCAGACCTTCCTAAATCCCTTTCCTCCCAAATGTGATTTGATGATGAGGAAAAAAACAATTCATCTGTTATCACTGCCAGGAGGGCAGGGATGCAAGCTACATCATTTGCCCCCTTCCAGAAACCCTGTTTTACCCCAGCTCCAGAAAGAGATATTCTCTCTCTGACACTCTTCCCCAACTTCCACATTTTTACTCCAAGCTATCATACCAAACTCTTTATATCTCTGGGGATAGGAAGCAGCCATATTCCAATAACCTGATTTTTATCAAGAGAAAAATATTCCAGGAATTCATTCATTCACTCACAAATATTTATGGAGCACCTATTAGGTCTGGGTACTGTTTTAGGCCATGGGGATGCAGCTGTGATTAAGACAAAGTTCTCATGGGCTCATTTCCAGACTAATCAGAAACAGACAATAAAGAATAACTACATTCACAGACTTTCATATAGCAGTAAGCTATGCAGAAACTAAAGAAAGTTAAGGGGGATAGCATGTGCTGTGGGGAGGTGGTCTTTCATTATCAGGATTTTTTTGGGGGGGGGTTCAATTTTTCTTTGCTTTACTCTCCTTGGGAGAGATAAGAGGGTCTGAGGGTCCCCTCCTCTGGATTCCTCAGCCCATTTTGGTCGCTCAGCTTCAGAGGGCAGCGTCTTGGTATTTAAGGGGGGCCGAAAAGCCAGCCCCTCGGTATTTGGTCAAGGGGTAATTAGAAGCTCATTAGAGAAATAGAAACAAGTTTACTGAACATCGTCTTCCGTGGGTGTAATAATACCACACCCCCGCCGCTCCGAATTTATTTTTTCCTTTGTTTATCTTGCACACACTGAATTCCTAACTACTTTTCAACATTTTTTTGAGCCCCGTGTGTGCCAAGCACTGTTCTAGGGCACCAGAACGAAGAGGTAGGAAACATTCTCCGCCCGCAGGAATCCCTGCTGTGCCAAGCTTGCAACAACCATTGCCTCAAGTCATCTTTTCCCTCCACACCGTTTTTGTGATTCATCTGTTCATTCGCGCAACCCCAAGAGGGTAGATAGGAACATTCCCATTTTACAGATGTGAAAACAGTGACTGCGAAGGGAAAAACGAATTGTTTTGCGACAACTGCATAGCCGGACGCCACCAGACCACGTGCAGCGGCGCGTTTTGCCCCTCGCGATCCCACCCGCACACGCTCCCTCTTTTCCTCCCTCCCAGCCGCCGCCGCGCCGGGTCCACGTGTGTGTGTCTGTGTGCGGAATGGGGACGGGGGCGGTGCCGCCGGAGGGGTGGGGTCCGGGCCAACGTCACAGGCAGTGCCGCCCAATCAGCGGCGGGCTCGCGGCCCCGGCGCTGGTATTGGGGCAGCGAGGGGGCAGTTCTCTATAACGCGGTCTCCGGGAGCCAGCGGGGAAGAAAGAAGCCGAGCGGGCGGAAGGCGCCCTCCCCGCCGCCTGGGCCCGGGCACCGGGTGCCGGGCCCGGGGTCCTTCCCGCCTCCCGCGGCCGCCGGCCGCTTTGTTTCCCCAGCCTCTTCGCCCTGGGCTACTCGAGAGGGGCTCCCGCCGGGGCTGCGCAGGGAACGCGGCGGCAGGAAGGGCGGCCGACCGCGCCGGGACTCGCAGGGACCCAGGAGTCCGGCCGCCGGGAGGGCCGCGTGACGAGATCGAGGAGGGAGCCGGAGCTCCGCGGCCCGGGGTTGCGGGCCGGGGGCGCCCGTGAGCAGAGACCTCCCCGTCGAGGGGGGGCGATGTTCCCCTCGCCCGTGGGCTCTTCGGGCAGCCAGGGCACACCGCCGCTGGGACCAGGGCCCCCGCAGTGGGCAACCCCCCGGACGGTTCCATGGAAACTCTGTGCCCCGCTCCCCGCCTCGCAGTGCCGGCGTCCCCGCGAGGGTCGCCCTGCTCCCCGACACCCCGGAAGCCGCGTCGGGGGACCCAAGAGTTCTCTCCGCTGTGCCTGCGTGCCCTTGCCTTTTGCGCCCTTGCCAAACCTCGGGCGTCCTCTCTGGGCCTGGGGCCTGGGGAGCTGGCGCCGCGGCCCCCGGTGCTTCTGGGCCCTCGCGCCCCCCTGTGCACCGGCGGCTGGGCCGCGGATGGCCTGAAGCACCTCGCGGGCCCAGCCGGGCGGTCCAGCGATCCGAACTCCCCCGCCGGTCAGGATGCGGACGCCGCAGCGTGCCGGGGCCGCGGCGAGGAGGAAGAGGGCGGAGGCAGTTTCCCGCACTTCGGCTCTCGCTCCGGCTTACCTCCCGGCCGCTGCCCGGCGCCCCTGCGCCCTCGGGAATCTCCGACCAGCTCCGCCTCGGCTCCGCCTCGGCCCGCCTCGGGTCTCGACTTCCAGCCCGGCCCCGCCGCCAGCCCCCATCAGGAGCCCGGTTCCCGGCCTCCGCCGCCACCTGCGGGCCTTTCCACCGAGCCGGCGGGTCCCGGGGCCGCGCCCGAGCCGCCCGCGCCGGGCCAGACGGCCGCAGGCGATGGAAGCCCCCCGCAGGCCGCCCCCGAGGCACCAGCCGCTAGCCCCTCGACGGCCAGCGGAGCTTCGGCCGCGCCCGGCGATCTCCGCCAGGAACATTTCGATCGTCTGATCCGCCGGTCGAAACTTTGGTGTTATGCGAAGGGCTTCGCTCTCGACACTCCGAGTTTGCGCCGGGGGCCAGAGCGGCCGCCTGCCAAAGCGCCCGCCCGGGGAACCGCCAAGAAACGCCGGCGGCCGCCGCCCCCCCATCGCAGCGCACAGCCCCGCCGCCCGGCACCGACGCTCCCTACCACGAGCACCTTCAGCCTGCTCGACTCCTTCCCCTGCCCCCCGGCCCTGGTGGTGGGGGAGGACGGAGACTTAGGGCCGGCATCCTCGCTTCGCCTGCAGGGAGACTCTAAGCCCCCGCCCGCCCACCCGCTGTGGAGGTGGCAGATAGGGGGTCCTGCTGTCCCTGAGCCCCCAGGCCTCAAATCCTGGGGGATCAACTTGGAGGAACTTTGAGCCTGAGACCTCTTCTGCCAAAGGGGAAAGGTTGGGGCCGCGGCCAAACTTTGGGCTCGAGGACGGGGCCTCCTTTCTCACATTTGCCTATTCCCTTTTAGGGGCTGCGGTGAGAGGGACCTCAAATGACAGTGATCTTCAAGCACCTAACCGGTTGGGGTGACACCCCCTCCCCCTCATCCTTTGGAGACGAACCAAGGGCTGGAGTCAGGAGAAGGCTTAACGGAAAAAGGCTTAATGACATAGATTCCAATCCCTCCCTTCTTCCATCTCGGATCTCTGGGGGCAGGGCCTTCACCCCAGGGGGAGCAAAGGAGGCTACCGCTCAAAGACAAGGAAAAAAAAAAAAGAGGGAGAGAGACCTTGGTGATGGACAAACCGGTTGTTTCTGTGGGCGAGCCCGGGGATGAGGGGGCTGTGGTGGGGGTGGGGAGGTGATTGGCAGCTCCCTGGGGGCATCCCCCACCCCCACCATCCAGGCCTTTAACCCTTCATTCCCCTCAGGCCTTCCCCAGCACTCCAAGCCCCAAGGGAGCCTTCGTGGGGGAGAGGGCAGCTTGGGCCAGGAGGCGATCACCCCCTCCCCGTTCTTTTCCTAAGCCCTCTCCCCTGACCAAGGCAGGTGACCCCTAATTGGCCAGATCTTCAGCCTCAGCCACCAGCCTTTCCCTTTTGTCCAGTTTTGGAGTTTCTCTCTTCAATTTTTCCTGTTTGCTTTCAGTTTATAAGGTCTGACGGGTGAAAGAGGACCTCCCCACTGGATCCATCAGCCCCCTCCCCAGCTTGCTTCTCCTATAGGAGGGGAAGGGCTGAAGGACCTCCTCCCCTCCCAAAGTGCAGCCTTTGCCTGGGGAAAGGGCCAGAGACTGTCCCAGGGAAAGTAATGGAAGGTGGAAGAAATCAATAAAATCAGACCAAACAAGTTGCCTTTCGAGGTCCTCTCCACCGATTTATGGATGGGAGCGGGTGGAGGTAGAGGGCAGGCCTGGGTCCATTCTTTGGACACCCAAACAGCCCCCTCAAAGGCTAGAGACGAGGCTAGCTGCTCCTTATAGAGGGGTCAATGAAAGGGTTCTTGCCCCAACCTGCAGGGCCCGGTGGGGCTTCAAGGGGCTAAGTTTGGGTTTGAATGGAAGCTGGGCTGTGGCATCTTCAGCTTCCTCCCCTAACTTCAGGCATTTAGGGAGTTGTCAGGGACCTGATGGATCCGATGGGGGCAGGGCCAGGGGATTAGTTTTGAGGTCAGAGGTTCTGTTTTCTGGGAGTGGCGGGGAAGAGGTAGGCCTGGACTACACCTGGCAGCTGGGAGGATACCCTAGAGTCAGAGAGGGGTGGAATCGCTTTCCCCTCCACCCAGGTGAGGTCAGGGGAGGTTAGCTCTGAGAGAGACTCCAAGCTGAGGTGTGAGGGGAACCTGGGAGGTGGTAGGTCTGCCCCACAAGTGAGGGACCCAGGGAGCCCCTCTGCCTACACTAGTGAATAGCACCCCCATCCCCCCCCCAAACGGGGTGAGGGAGGAACAATTCCCACATACGATACTGGGGAAGGACTTGTCTCCTTTTCTGTGAAAATGCTTTGTAAAAAGTTGTTATTGTTTGCATAGAGCAGATTCTTGAGAAAAAGTGTTTTGCGCCACAAAAGTTTTGTTTGTTTTAAAAAACCGTCTCTTTTAATTTTTTTTCTTCGAGGGGGGCGAGGGTGGGGGCAGGGTGGGCCGGTGTGGGTTGGGCTTTGCTCTCTTTCTCCTCAACATCTGGCCTTTCTGAACCCTGCTGACCTCCCCTCCCCCCTCCAGCTGTGTTGCGGGGAGGAGGGGGGAGGGCGGGGAGAGTGCCTCCCACTCCCGTGCTTCAGGGGTATCTATCTTATTTTGCCCCCCCCCCTGCCCCCGCAAGAATGGGGAAGGCAGAGGAAGAAGGCAGACGTGAGGGGTGGGAAGAGACTCGCTGTGAAAAGGGGGTCTTGTTTGCAAGGAAAAATTTGGAAAGGCAGGCTCCTGTTTTTAAAAAGCTCCCTGCTTTTCGTAATGTGGTGTGGGTCAGCTTTGGCTCTTTGGACCAGCCTGGGCGGGATGGTGCGAGCTCTGGAAGGAGGAGGAAGGTGGGTCGCAGAACACCCTTGGCAGACTCTACTTCTGGGAGCAGTGGGATGTGATGCCGTTCGCTTGTCCTCCCTCCTTCCTCCTTGAAAGGAAAGCATGAAGCATTAAACCTGAGTCTGGAAGGAGTCTGGGCGGTGAGTTAAAAAACACACCTTTTGGCCAGACCTGCAACTGCCCTTGCTTGCTGAATGGTTTAAATTTGGAGAGACGCAAGGCTGGAAGCTTCTCTAGAAGCTTTCCAGTCATTCTGCACAACAGGGGACTGTATTAGTTTTCTTGCGGCTGCCCTAACAATTTGCCACACACTTGGCACCGGAAAACAACGGAAATCTTTCCTCTCACCCTCCTGGAAGCCAGAAGTCCAAAACTAAGGTGTCAGGAGGGCCAGGCTATCTCAGAAGGCTCTAGGGGAGACTCCCTTCCCTGCCTCTGCCCCTCTTGGGTGTGGTCATATCACTCCCATCTGCATGTCTACATGTGGCCCTCCCCTCTTCTGTCTCTTATAAGGATACTTACAGGATTTAGGGCCCACTCAGATAATCCAGCAAGATTTCCTCCTGACAACCTTAGTGTAGTGTAGTTACACCTGCAAAAGACCCTTGTTCCAAAGAAGGTCACATTCACAGGTTCCAGAGGGAGGGGAGTTAGGACACAGACAGATCTTCTTGGGTGCCGCCTTTCAGCCCCCCACAGGGAAGGCTCTCCCTTCCTCCCTGTCCTGTTTCCTCACCCTTCGGGCCTGCCCTTCAGCCTCCTCAGGTGTCTCTGCTCCCAGATTGTCCCTTGTGTCCTTCCTTGTACCTCTCCCTACTCAGACTTCACGTCCTCTGAGGCTCTCCCAGTGGGCACCCTCTGGCAAGACGGAGAGTTTTCTTAGCTTCTGCCTGGGTTTCTTTTACTGGGTTTTCTCTTTTCCATTGGTCTCTGTGGGCCCCTACCTCCCCACAGCTCTGGGGCTGGTCGTCTGCCCTTCCTCATCAGGACTGCCTGCAGGACCCTGAGAGTGAGGGCCTCCTTAAATTTTGTTCCCCAGACGCCTGCCTCACCCGAGGCCAGCCCTGCTCACCATCACCTCTTTCCTCCTGGGAGCCACCCCCATACCCTCTGCTTCTTGCCTCTTAAATCTTTGCAGCTTGACTTCTGCTCCCTGAAATGGCTTTTTCCAGGGTCACTCATGGCGACCCCCAACCACAAATCCAGTGGTTGCCTCCTGGCCATCCTGACCTCTGGATCCTCCATGACCTCGGCTGCATGTTTGCCAGGGTCTCCCAGTTCCCTCCCGTAACAAGTCCCTGCTCTGTCTTCCGTGCCTTCTCTTCTTCCCCTGACCTCAGGAAGCTTTGAGATACAGCGAGCCCTGTGATGTGTCCGGGTGGTGTCCACCCTCCGCCCCCGCATCTCCCCATGTGATTCCCTTCATCTCTCCCTCTCAAGCCTTCATCTGGCACTTGCACATCTAAGTGAGTTGAAATTACTGTCCCAGCCTCCTCTCCCTCCAGCTCAGCCCCTTTCCTGAGCTGATCTCAGAGTGCTTGCTGGCAACTCATACTTTCCTTATTGAAAACCCAGCTCAGTGCCTCCACCCCCGGCCCACATCAGCACCCCCTGGTCAAGCCCACGTTCTGGATACAGCTCTGCCTTTTTCCCCAAGCCTCAGCCCCTTGAATCCTCACCGGGTCCTCTCATTTGACTCACTGCTGTCTATTTCTGAACCTCCGCCTCCCACTGGCTTCTGCAGTACCTCCTCTCTCTTCTCCATCAGGGTGCAGCGGGCCCGATGTCAAGTCTGGTTGTTGCAGTAGCCACCTAACTAGTTTCCGTATCCCTGGTTTTCCTCTGATCCCCTTACATCCAATTACCTCCTTATTCAGCAGGTCCCCTGATTTTTTAAAATGCAGCCTCCTCAACTTATCATTTGGGGCCTTCTAGGATTTGACCCTAACTCTCATGGCCCTGTTTCTTCACTTTATACACCATGTGGCCCATCATATTGGATTGTCTTCCTTCCCCAGCCACCCACCTCTTTTCTATCTTCCTTCTCCAATGCCCATTTGAAATGGTGTTTCCTCCACAAAGCGTTTTTTGATCCCTCCTGCAGGATGTCATCCATGCCACCTTTAGATCCTCTTTACTCTTTTACGTCTGGGGCAGGGGTAGTGGAGTGTGGTGGAAGAATAGGGGCTTCGGAGCCAAACACTCCTGCTCCCCCTCTCCATGGAGAGGCTGGGAAGCTAAGTCAGGCCACCGGGGGGAGCGGGGGGAATCACCTTTCTGACTTAAGCTTTCATTTTGTTGCTTTGACCTTAACTGAATTATTAACACGAAACGGACACTTCAAAATCACTCCTGTAATCATAGAAACTTGCCAGGAAGACACTTTCCAGTGTGCCAAGGATTTTCTTTAATTAAGGATAAAAAATTAAGGTTATTGATGATAAGGTTGTAGTTGTGATTTTTTTCCTTCATCTTGCTATAGTCATCTTGTATCTTTTGCTTCATTTTCTTTAGGTCCTGGATCTGTGTCCTGTATTCCAGGCACCTAATGAGTTCTTGCCCAATGCAGAGTGTGTATTTTTTTTTTTTTTAAGATTATTTATTTATTTATTTGACAGGCAGAGATTACAAGTAGGCAGAGAGGCAGGCAGAGAGAGAGAGAGGAGGAAGCAGGCTCCCCACTGAGCAGAGGGGCTCGATCGCAGGACCCTGGGATCATGACCTGAGCCGAAGGCAGAGGCTTTAACCCACTGAGCCACCCAGGTGCCCCCAGAGTGTGCATTTTAAAGGGCTTATTTAAAGGACTGTACCGCAGCGTGGGGAGTGGCACTTGGCAAGGATGCAGTTCTAGAACCTTCCACTAGATGCTGCTGTCTGCTCGCGCCAGAGGATGATGCCAGGCTGGAGAAAGGTGGGTGGGGGAAGGAAATAAGTTTTCCATGCAACTGAGCGCCTCCCAGGGCTGGGGCCTGGGAGAGGGATGTGTTATACATGGTCTCTGCATACGTGGGACTAAGTCAGGTGCTTTGCATACATTATCTTGCTTTCATAACAATAGATGGGTATTATTTTCTCTGTTCAGTGGGTGAGGAAATGGAGGCTCAGAGAGGTTAATTAATTTTCCTGTGATCACACAGCCGGTGGAGGAATGGTTCAGTTCTCGTCTGACTGAGTTTTCCCCTAATGGCAATTGTCATAGCAAACACTTACATGGCACTTGCTTGGAGCCAAGCACTGTTCTAAGTGCCTTATGCCTAGTCACTCCTCTAATCTGCAGAACAACACTAACAGGTATGTACTATTATTATACCCATTTTGCAGCTG